AATTTGGTCACAAATTATAAATTAATTGATCACAAATTATTTCTCGATCACAATAAAAAAATTTATAGGTCACAAATTATTTCAGAATAACAAATCGAAAATTTTATAGATCACAATCTTTTCATCGGTAACAAATTTATAAAATTAATAAGCCACGTATTATTCATTGGTCACAAATCACAAATTTTATATATCACAAATTATTTTAACGTCATAATTCAAAAAATTTATAAGTCACAATTTGTTCATTGGTCACAAATCAAAAATTAAAACGTCACAATTTATTTATAGGTCATAAGTTACAAATTATAAAATTATTGGTCACAAATTAACAAATTTTTAGGTCACACATTATTTTTTGGTCACATTTTATCTTTTTCATTAGCCACAATTTGTTTATCGATCACAGATTAATCAATTTAATGATCACAAACAATCAAATAATCTATGACCACCACAACACTTGTGACCACCAGTCCACTACCAACACTTGTGACTACCACCAACATCATGACAACCGAAACCTCGTCGTCGGACCACCACAACCTCTACCTCCACACCCATCCTACAACCAATAAAAATCCCCAACCTTACCATCATCGTCGCCGACCACCTCCAACAAATTTTCAACTTCAAATCCACCGACACCACCACCTCATCACTACAACCACCAACAAAACCACCGTTACCACTGCACCAACAAGATCCAACACTGTCGCCCAAACATCATATCGCCTCCCAAAAATCGATAAAATCACCGTCCAACCATCGCCACCCAAACACCAAATCACAAGCAACAAAATCTGACTTCCTCCACCAACGCCACCACCACATGAATCGCCGCCTCTACTTCCCCTCAACAAATCACCACATGTACCACGCCCCAACTGACCCGTACGGCTTCCACTTCTCACACAATTGCTCCGTCTGTGAAGGCCTAGGCAAATCCTCCAAACTGTACAACAACTGCACACCTTTCCTAACCCCTAAATCACTCACAGGCAACACATCCGGCCGATGCAGTGAAAATATCACGAACATGTGGACTGACCAGGAACCTATCCCCTTCACCATTGAGAGCATCGTGAACAGTGACCTGTCATCCATTTTCACCGTTGAGTCATCTGACAGAATCCCGAAATTATACTTATTAGCGAGGTCATATAAATAGCTAGCCTTGTGCCCAAAAATCCCGATTTACTTTAGCTGTTGCGCAGAGAAGGTAGAGAGAGAGAAGAGAGAGAATGAGGATGAGGAAAATTAAAATGAAATTTATTAGGGTTTGGGAAGAAAATTGTATCATTAATATTTAATATTTAAAATAAAATGTCTTATTTTTGAAAAGTCAAACCTTTGATCTGATTTTTGAAATTGAATCTTTAAAAATCTGATTTTATGTAATTTCCTCTTGAATTAATCATCCAAATGAAAAGATGACGGGATCAATGATCCAGTGGTTCCATTTTCAACTACTATTGACAAACGAGAATGTGTATGGGTTAGAGGTGTAAAACAAGTCGAACTGTGTGTTGGGTTGTGTCCGTGTCTAGGCCAACACCATTTACTTTCTATATTCTGAAGTTAAAAGAAAAAATAATAGCGAGGTTTGGTGGGACAACTCTATACGCCTCGACACCTCTAGTATCTTTTTTGTACTGCTTGGCTTGAAAGAAAAATGAGTTCCATTACTCTTTTTTGTAATAAATTCTCTCTTCAAACATGTTTGCTTTTCTACAACAAAATGCGTTATATAACAACACTAATGATAATCACGTAAAAATTATGGCATGCTGAGGTTTAGTACTGCTATTGTATGTTTGATCGGGAAGAAATTAATCTACCTAATTTGATTGGGAAGAATATGTCATTCGTTACTGAGATTCTCAAATTGAGGAGGCTTGATTAGATTAAGCAGACAACGATTTAAGTTGATAATAAAATCTAGCATATATTTGATAGGGTTTAAAATCTAGATTTTAATTTAAATCAAAATCAAAATAAATTTTAATCACATATTTCATAAATTCACAATTTTTCAATCAAATATTTCATTATTTTTTATTAAAATCTATTAAAAATTTAATTTTAATCTCCACCACGCATGAGCCTAATTTCATAAAGTGGACGTATTAGGAAGACATTTCTACTTGTTTCCATAGAGGATTGATTATGAAACCGTAACGATAGGTTGAGATCTATTTTGCTCTTTTTTAAGAGTTGAGGACTAATTTTGACAATCTAATAGCAGTTACGACGTCGTAGATTTTGCTTGGCATCCAATATAGCTTTTTTTCTAGAAAATTCTGCCCTTAAACTCACTCCCAGATTTGTGAAAACCAATCAGTTGGCCGATTGCTCCTTTCGATTATCATCTCTGTAAGTTGATTCTCTTCACTTTCAATTTTTTTGTTTTTCTGTAAATTCACGTAATCTGCAAAACAGACACACGCAACGAGTCTGGAAGGAGATAGGGTTTGGGGGTTTTACTGGAAATTTTGATGTATGCTTTTATGTACTCATTCCTGTATAAATCCTGTATATTTACTGGAATATGGTATTTTGTGTTGGGGGATAGGAATGGCGACCGAACAACCAAAGCCGGCGACTGAGGACCCAAAGATCGACCTATTTGAAGACGATGACGAGTTTGNACCGAACAACCAAAGCCGGCGACTGAGGACCCAAAGATCGAGCTATTTGAAGACGATGACGAGTTTGAGGAGTTCGAAATTGGTCAAGGTAATTTTGTGGAATATTTACTCGTTCTTTCTATCATTGTGCCTTTCCTCTATAAATTTTAAGTGTTATGTTTGGATTTAGTTGAGTGTATGTGTGAATCTCCGCTGTTTATTTGGATGACCTCTGGCCAATCTTTCAAAGTGGTCGTATCAGTCTTTCAAGTGGGGAATGATTGACTTAGCTACAAAGAAAATATATTCTAATCTAATGTATCTAAATGCAGAAGTAAACCAAGCATAATTGATACACTTTTTTTACATGGAGAAAAAAAAAAAAAATCATCGTGAAGGGAAAAAACCACGAGATGTATTTTGATTTCAACTTCCACTAAGTCACCATGGATTTACAAGTTTATCTCTATAAAATACTAGTGGCTGACAACATGATCAAGAATAAGCATCTACTTGAACATAGTCATCTATAATTAATCTTTTGTCTTTGACTTCTTTTCGTGCTTCATATGATGATCAATCTAATTCTACTTTATAACGAGGGTCAGTCAGCCCGTCAATCTGGCTTAAAGCTCAAATAAATTCCTCCAGGTATCATTACTATGTAAATTGGAACTTCCTCGCTAATGTTGGGAGAAGGCCTTGTTGTAAGTTTACTTAGTAGGCAAACCTTTTGAATTAAAGGGTCATGAGAACTCTGTTTAATGCCTCATTAGGAGATACTATTTGATTTTGTATTCCATCACGTTTGCCAGTGATAGTTAAAAGGAACTATTAAGCCCAGATTGAGCTCAAAATTGGATCCTGGAGCTGGATGTAAACGCATATGTCGATGACCCAAGGTTGTAATATTCTACATTGCAAGAAGAGAAAGTCCAATAGTTGGAGTAAATAAATCATTTGGAAGTAAATTCTTCAAGTCCCAAAATGTTGCATCCATGAACTCAAATTCTAGTTGTTCAAGAGACTAGAGACCATAAATCTGCCTGACA